TAAGCCACATCCACACTGCAGAAAGAATCCAGTTTGACATCACTTTAACTGCTATGGCTCAGTATTATGGAATTATAGGAGTTGTAGTTTTGGGAGACATTTACCATTCTCTCTGTCAAAGGGTTCTGGTGCCACAACAAATGACAAATCCCAGGATTCCATAGCAATGGGCCACGGCAGTTAAAGTGGTGTCAAACTGGACTATTCCTGCAGTGCAGATGCAGCCCTAGGTAATAAGGAAATCAAAATAGCTGAGGATTTCCCATACCTTGGATCAGTAATGGAGCAGGATGGAGAGTGAAATCAAAGAAATCAGAAGACTAAGGACTGGGAAGGACAGCTATGAACAAAGTAGACAAATGCAAAGATATACAAATGAACACTAAAATTAGGATTGTCCAAGCCATCGTATTCCCCATCACCATGTATAGATGTGAGAGATGCAAGAGTGAAGAAAGAAAACCAGCTCTTTTGAGATGTGATGCTGGGGAAGAGTGTCCGGACGCTGCGACGGAAGGACGTCATCAGAGCGTTCGCTGTGTGCAATGGCGGGGGCTCCGATGACATCCTTGGGAAAGGGTTGGGGCGTCTGGCATCTGGCTTCCAAGAGGGCGCAAACTGCCGTCTGTAGAGGCCCATTATTGTCTTGTCCAACAATTCATAACCTTCTTATGATGTGTCCAAAGTATGACAGTCTAAGTCTTGTCATCTTGGCTTCCAGGGATATCTCTGGCTTGATCTGCTCTAGGACCCATTTGTTTGTCCTTTTGGCTTTCCATGGGATCCTCAGCACTCTTCTCCAGAACCACATCTCAAATGCATAGATTTTCTTCCTATTATCTTTTTTAACTGTCCAGCTCTCACATTCATCCATGGTAATAAGGAATACAATGGCTTGTATGATTCTAACTTTTGTGCTGAGTTGTATGTCTTTCCATTTTAGGATCTTTTCTAGTTCTTTCATAGCCGTCCTTCTAATTCTTAGTCTTCTTCTGATTTCCTGACTGCAGTCCCCATTTCTATCGATGTTTGATCCCAAGTATGGGAATTCTTTTACTATTTCTATTTCTCCATTGTCTAGGTTGAACTTGTGAAAGTCCTCGGTGGTCATTATTTTTGTTTTCTTGATGCTCAGCATTAAGCCTGCCTTTGTCCTTTCTTCTTGGATCTTCCTTAGTAGGTGTTCCAGGTCTGTGAGGTTTTCTGCTAGTATTATGGTGTCATCTGCATATCTTAGATTGTTGATATTCCTTCCTCCTATTTTCACTCCTCCTTCTTCTGTGTCCAAGCCTGCTTTCTTTACAATATGTTCTGCATACAAGTTGAACAGATCGGGTGAAAGCCTTGTCGGACCCCTTTGCCAACTGAGAACCATTCTGTTTCTCTGTCTTCTGTCCTGAGAGTAGCCTCTTGTCCTGAGCACAGATTTCTCATCAGGACTATCAGATCTGTTGGCACTCCCATATCTTTAAGAAGCAATAATGCTAGGAAAGGTGGAGGGCAGTATAGAAAGAGAGGAGGACTGGCTGCTAGATGGATGGACTCAATCAGGGAGGACATGGGCATAAATCTGCAAGACCTGAGCAGAGGAGTGGAAGACAGGGGGTCTTGGAGATGTCTCATCCACAGAGTTGCCATGAGTTGAGGTTGATTCAAGAGAGTTAACAACAACAACCAATATGTAGAGGGATTGCAGCCTTGCCCAGCTCATGAAAATAAGCCTTGCAACACCTGAGCTGTACCATCAAGGCAAACTTTCACCCAGCAGCACAGGTCTGGCAAAGTTCACCTGAAGTAGCTCAGAAAACCATTCAGTTGCAGATGCTAGCGACCTAACATCTGAGGTCCAGCAAATGCAACTTTTAGCTTCGAATTGCCGCTGCTGGCAGCAACTTTAGAGAGGAGACAGTGAGCAAGTAAGTAAGATTACATTCTGTCTGTGCAAGAGAGCAAGATTAGGCTGAGCAAACTCAGTAGATCTGTAAGATTACGTCTGTGTGAAACAGTAAGATTAAGTCATGCAGACTCAGTCCATCTGTAGATTTAAATCAGGCTTTTACAACTGAGGAGGGAGCACTGTGATCTCTTTGCTTTTGGCATTGTTGTATTGATTGTGATTCTGGAGCAGAGAGTTCAAATCCCTGCTTCTGCGTGGAAACTCCCTGGGTGGCCTTGGGCAAGTCACATTCTCTCAGCCTCAAAGGAAGGCATGGGCAACCACCCTATGAACAAATCTTGCCAAGAATACCTCTTGATAGGTTCACCTTAGAATTGCCATCAGTAAAAAATGACTTGAAGTTGCACAACAACAAGAACGATGATCCTAGGCTGTATTTCAGAGGAAGGAACTGACCAAAACCATCCTAGAATATTCCTTGTCTAAGAAAACCCTATTAAATTCGTCACCATAAGTTGACCTGAAGGCACATATATACATCTCAAGGTGTTCTTGGCAAGATTTCTTCAGAGGAGGTTTGCTGTTGCCTTCTTTTTAGGCTGAGAGAATGTGTCTTTTCCAAGGTCACCCGGTGGATTTCCACGGCTGAGTGGGGATTTGAACTCAGACTTCTCAGAGTCCTAATCAAACACTCAGACATCTAAACCATGCAGTCTCTTGTTTTCTTGACATGTTTTATTCAGAGGAGGTTTGCTGCAGCCTCCTCTTAGGCTGAGAGAATGTGACTTTCCCAAGGTCACCCAGTGGGTCTCCAGAGCCATGCAGGGATTTGAACCCTGGTCTCTTGGAGGCCTATGTTAACACTTGCACTACACCACATGGGCTCCTTACATACTACAAACTACCAGTCCCCAAACTACAAGCCACTCCTCATGCTACAAATCACTAGGCTTCAAACTATAACTCCAAATTAGGCCTCAGAGTATACACTTTGTAATTATGTGCCTGAAGGAGATTCCGACTTCTGGCAACCATAACCTAGGGTTTTGTTGTTGAGATTTGTTCAGAGGAGATTTGCCATGGCTTTCCTTAGAAGCTGAGAGAGTGTGACTTGCCCAGGGTCTACCTGAGGCTTTCCGTGGCTAAGTAGGGATTCGAACCCTGGACTCTGAGGGTCCTAGTTCAACACACAAACCACTATACCGCACTGGCTCTTGCTTCTGTTTTATATTCTAAATATTACGCAGGCCTGCGATTAATTCCCCCCCCCCCAATATTGTAGCTTTTAAAAATGTATTTTGGGGTGCTGAATTTGAAAAACACAATAAAAATGTCATGCCACAAACACTTCTTTTACAAATTCCACATTTTTTTTTATCAATGCAGTTTTTACTCAGCTTTGATTAAGCGCAGACCCTGATGTGCCTTTGAGTGCTTTCGAATGGGTTTTTGTGTTTCATATCCGCAAATAAAAGCATTTTGAAAGTCTATTAAGACAACTCTAACCCCTTTCTTACTCTTTGCAGAATAACTCTTTGCAGGACCATTTCATTCAACCCCAAATTACAACCCAAAAACTTCAAAGCAAGTCGTGTGGGGGGGAAAAACCTGTACATGATGGAGCAAATCTGGGGTCATTTATTTTTTGGGGGGATTGAGAACCCAGGTCTCTATAAAACCAGGGTACGTTTTTAACAAAAGTTTTTATGACCCTCGACTTTGCAGCTCTGTGTTATTTGAATTAATAGAACTATTAAAGGAAACAGCTTGTTTTTAACTTCAGCTAAGCAACTAAGCTGTGAGCAAAGTGCCTACAGATCAATCTTGATCGTTTCCTCAAACTGGGAAGCAAGCCCGAACATGCTGGAAGGAAAAGTGCGCAGAGATCTTGCAAAGCGCTGCCTGCAAGGCGCATAAAGCTAATCGGAGGTGGAGGGAAGCTATTGTTCCAACAGGAAAGTGGGTTTCCTCCAGCGCAGCTGCTCTGCAATCCCAGCCAAAGCGGAGTGGGAAAAGCAGATCACTTTCCCACCTTCCCGCAGAAAAAGAAATACATACCACCAATGGCCCAATGCGACGGAGGCTGCGTCTGCATGGCCCGTTTCCCTCCCATTTTGGTGCCATCCAGTTTGGACAATGCGTGGCTCCAACTCGGGTTCTGATGTGAACCGTCGGGATGAAGTCTGGCGCAATCAGCACCAGAACTGGGGTTTAATGCCCTTAAAGCCAATTTTTAGAAGCGTAATAATCCAAACGATTAATGATGAATGCCGTTTCTTCCAGAGATTATATATTATAGGCGTTTGGACTTATGTTGGGTAATGTATAAATTTGTACACGACAGGAAAATGAGGTTTGCAGAAATACAGTTAAACACTAATGTATTCACAGCATAGGAAGTGAAGACTGGAAAATGGAAAGTCATGTGGTTATATGATTTAGCAGAAGAAACTGTAAATAATGATTGTTTGATTGTTGTTTTTTGTGATTTTAATCAATAAATTTTTTAAAAAACCATGATGATGATGATGATGATGATAATAAATAATTTTTATCCCACCCCTCTGTGTAACACAACTGGTGGCTTACAACATTAAAATATACATTCTATATCCCACAATCCCACCCACCCCTTCAAATCCTATTAAACAGTTAACAGTTTAAAACACACTTAAAATAATAACACAAATAAACAATAAATGCAGCAGAATCAGGGATAAGCAGGTTGGGCTATCTTTTGGTGGCTGGGATATCTATTCAGGAAAGGCCTGCCGGAAGAGATCCGTCTTAATAGCCGATTCCATAATCTGGGAGCGGTTATCTATGGAAGATCCATAGGTAGATCCTATAAGCCCTCTGTTCCCGCACTGGAGTGGCTGTCTGCATGTGTGTCATATAGAGCCGTCCTGCGTGTCTACCTTTGCTATGAGCTGCTTGCTCTGAGACCAGAACATGATGACCAACAATGTGATCATCACTTGTTCTAATCTCAAAAGTGCCATGCTTTTTTGGAGGCTGGATGGCCATCTGTCACAGGGAGGGCTTGGATTGTGAGTTCCTGCATGGCCGAATGGGGTTGGATGGCCTTTAGGGTCTCTTCCAACTCTAGGATGCTATGATTCTGTGCCAGAAGGCTCAGTGGGACGCGCATGCAGACAGCCTCCCCCAGGGACATAGGGCAGGTAATGGTGGCAGGTCAGGGCAACTTCAGGGCCAGGATACTCTAGGCTAGCCATGGAGTATTCTGGCCAGTGCAGACAAGGCCCGAGTTCTATTTCAGCATTCTCCTAGGGGTTGTCTGCACTGGTAAAAAGAAGCGGCTTCAACTCGACTTGAGGCTTACCTGTTTATACAATACACGAGGCCAAAACAAGAGTAAGAGCAGTGTTCCAGGGTGGAGGGAAAAAGCAAAAGAATTTCCATTTTCTCCGTTTTAATGCTGAAAGTGTGCATTATCTCACCAACATATAAACAACACAATTTGTGAGTGCAGGGATGCAGGCAGCTTATGGAAGCGGTCTGGACTATGTGCCCTAGGACTGGTGAGATGCAGCCAGCCATGCCACCACTTGCCATACAGGTTTTTCCTTTTGTTGAATGTACAGGCGCACGAGTGGCCAGATGCACCACTGAGCATTCACACACCCCATGATGTGAAATTACAATAAATACAGCAAGTTGCCAATAATGCAACGGAGGTAATAAAAATATACACAAACTGGACAGTCCAACATGGGCCCATGGGGTGAAGTGAGGGGAAAGGGGGTATATATGGGGGCCCTCTATGATGGTGCTTTGCCAATGTGCCAGTGAGCACATTAGGCGTTGTAGAAGCTGTGTATTGCTCGTGCGACTGTATGGCAGTAACAAGTCTGGTCACAGGGCTGGGTGTTCAATGAGATGGCAGCTGGGCAAGACGAGGGAGGAAACTGGCAGTCCCAAGCAATGTGTTAATGGGATAGTGTGCATGCAATAGGCAGCACAGCTTGGTGCCGTGTAGTGCAGACTGTGCATGGGTGTTCGGACCATTGTGGGAACAGGCTACGCAGACAGCGGGTGATCCCCCCAATTTAGGAAACTCCAGAGGCAACCTGGATTCTCCCCTCCATCTTCTCAGCCCCCTAAAATCACGAGAGAGCCACCTCTTTATCCATCGCCTTCCCCCCAAATGGTGACTCAATTATGGCTTACAAAGTAGAGCAAATTACAGTCATCCCTCCCGATTCGAGGGGGATCCACCTACCCCACGAATCGGAAAAACTACAAATATTCAAAGCCCATTGGTTAAAATGGGTGTGCACTCCTGTGTGCGGTGCTGAGCGTGCATCTCAGCCACACGCACCATTTTGTCCCCACTTGCCATCAGCAAAGGAGCGAGACTGCGGACTCCAAGTCCACGAACGGAGAGGGACAAGTGTACTATGTAATCTCATGTATAAATCTAGAAATTTTAGAATAAAATATTATTTTTATTCCTATTTGTTGTAACCTGCCTCGATCCGCAGGGAGAGGCGGGCTATAAATAAAATAGTAGTAGTAGTAGTAGTTAAAAAATCAGCCTCCAAAAAACTGAGTCAACTTATCCAAGGGGCAAGGCTAAGTACTGTACCTTATCCAAAGGGCAATGTTGAGTAGTGTACTAAAAAAGAACCATCCTCTTCTCTGAGTAAAGTGGCAAAAG